CCCCAAAACCCCAAAACCCCAAAACCCCAAGGGATGAATACTGAGTATATATTGAAGGAAATTAATATTTCAAATTAAATAATTGTTAGTTATATAAAAAGATCTTGCTAGTATGGAGTTAAGAGTAGGTGGTAAATACAGACTATCTAGAAAACTAGGTTGTGGAGCCTTCGGAGATATATATCATGGTAAATTTTCACTCCTCCGACATAACTAATGAATTTATAGGCACAAATATCAAAACAAACGAAGAAGTTGCTATTAAATTGGTACATTAAATTTTAAGCCACAAGATGTTTTAACCTCAAAAATTTATAGGAACCAGTGAGAACCAAGCATCCTTAATTGCTCTATGAGACAAAGCTCTATCGAATTCTCCAGGGTGGAGGTAAGTAAAGACCAATTATTTTTTGTTGCCGAGAAAATCGGATTTTACTTCCAAAAATTTCCAACTTTTTCATTAATTGATAAATTTAATAGTCGGTATCCCTAATGTTCATTGGTTTGGAGTTGAAGGAGATTATAATGTGATGGTTATTGATCTATTAGGTCCCAGTTTAGAGGACTTGTTCAACTACTGCAAGAGAAAGTTCTCCCTTAAGACTGTTCTCATGCTTGCTGATCAAATGGTAAGTGCCTTATGCTCATTTATACCCGTTGATGGATGACTTGATTAATTCCTGAATAGAATTATTCATATAGCATCCCTGACAATCCTCGATGTTAAATAATTGATTGATTCATGACCTCTAATCATTTATATAGTTACAAAGAATTGAGTTCGTGCACTCAAGACATTTCCTTCACAGAGATATCAAGCCTGACAATTTCTTGATTGGTATCGGCAAGAAACAACACTACGTATATGTGATTGATTTTGGTTTGGCAAAGAGATTCAGAGATCCTAAAACTGGAGAACACATTCCTTACAGAGATGGAAAGAATTTGACAGGAACTGCTAGATACGCCTCAGTTAATACTCATCTAGGAATAGGTAATTTCATTCTTTCTTATTAAATCTTAATTTAGAGCAATCTAGAAGAGATGATCTTGAGTCCTTGGGCTTCGTTTTAATGTACTTCAACAGAGGTTCCCTCCCATGGTAGGGTCTCCCCGCCAAGACCAAGAAGGAAAAATACGAGAAGATTCGTGATAAGAAGCTATCTACCTCTATAGAAACCTTGACCAAGGGGTATCCAGAAGAATTCGCAATATATATGAACTATTGCCGCTCATTAAAATTTGAGGAGAAGCCAGATATAGGATATCTTAGAAAGCTCTTTAAGGATCTATTCTACAGAATGGGCTACGAATACGATTTTGTGTTTGACTGGATGGTTAAAAAGTAGGGCCCTGCAGGCACCGGCCTAAAGCCAGGCGAAGAAGAAAAGAAAGATGATGGAGATATCGCAATGCCAGAATAATAATACGATCGATGAAGTTGACTTGAAACTATGAATTAGGAGGCCAATGAATAAATAAATTTTATACAGTTAATCTTTGATCAAACCTTCAAATAATTCACTCTTAAAATATATCAATATCAGAGGCTTTCAAGCTGGCAAATATATATTATTTATTCTACTTTTATAAACCTCTTGCACATTTATATATTCCTTTCATGAGGGGTTTTGGGGTTTTGGGGTTTTGGGG